TCACCTCAGCCTCCCAAAGGCGCGGGATTACAGGCTGAGCCACCAAGCCCGGCTGTGAAATCAATCTTATCAACCTGTTGCTTATTTTGACATCTTTATCAAACATTGTTTATGCCTCCTGCACTTTCACCAACTAAGTAAAAAGGTATACACCAGCATCTGTTGTACTCACAAATTGCAATATTTATCTTGAGCTCAATGTCTAACCCATAAGTTAGAGATTAAGACCAGAAAAACACAAAGCATTCCAGTCTTTAAATACTGTTGTTATGTAAGTGAAATGTTCTTTTTCTTAGGAAACATACACATCGACACATTCAGTCGTCCGCAACTCACATGTCATGGTTCAAAAGTTGTGACAATATACAGAGACAGAAAAATGTGGCAAATGTTAATAATTAATTGGGGAATCTGGGTGAAAGGTATAGGAAAGTTCTTTGTACTTTTCTGGCAACTTTTCTGTCAGTATGAAAATATTTCAGGCCGGGCTCGGTGGCTCAGCCTGCAATCCCGCGCCTTGGGAGGCCGAGGTGAGTGGACTGCCTGAGCCCGCGGGTTCGAGACCCGCCTGGGCACAGAGACCTCATCTCTACAATAAATCAAAAAATCAGCCGGGCGTGGTGGCGCGCGCCTGGAGTTCCAGCTACTCGGAAGGCGGAGGCGGAAGGATCGCCGGAGCCCGGCGGGTCGAGGCTGCGGTGGCCGGGAGCGGCCGCTGCCCTCCGGTCTGGGCGACGGAGTGAGACTCCAACTCAAAATAAAAATAAAATAAAATAAATTCTTCAGTTTTAATCCCAGCACTTTGGGAGGCCGAGGCAGGGGGATCTCTTGAGCCCAGGAGTTCAAGACCAGCCTGGGCAAAAGAGTGAGACCCAGTATCTACAAAAAGTACCCAGAAAATTAGCCAAGAGTGGTGGCACGTATCTGAAGTCCCAGCTACTCGAGAGGCTGAGATGGGAGGATCGCTTGCAGCCTAGGAGTTTCAAGGCTGCAGTGCTATGATCATGACGCTGCACTCCAACCTGGGCAACATAGCAAGACTGTAATCGCTACTAAAAAAAAAAAAATTCACCCGAAATGGAATCCCATACCTATCAGTGAATTATTCCTTACTTCCACCCAACGTTCCCCATTCCCCCAGCTCTAGACAACTCCTAATATACTTTCTCTTTTTTGGCATTTCTTTTGTTGTTGTTGTTTTAATTAGAGTGTCACTCTGTCGCCCAGGCTGGAGTGCAGTGTTCACGGCCACTCCAGTGTCGACCTGCTGGGCTCCAGCGATCCTTCTGCCTCAGCCTACCAACTAGCCGGAACTACAGGTGCACGCTACCACACCCAGCTAATTTTTTATTTGTCATAGAGATGAGGTCTTGCCAAGTTGCCCGGGCTGGTCTCAAACCCACAGACTCAGGCAAGCCACTCGCCTCGACCTCCCAAAGTGCTGGGATCACAGACTGAGTCACTGAGCCCAGGCTTTTTTGACATTTTTACTGACATATCTTAGTTGTACATATTTTGGGGGTACCTGTGATAGTTGGACCCATCTATACAATGTGTAATGATCAAATCAGGATAATTGGGAGATCCAGCACCTCAAACATCTATCTTGCCTTTGTGTTGAGAACATTACCATTCTACTTGTCTAGGTATTTTGAAATATACAGTACATTTTTATTGACTGTAATGTTTCTACTATACCATATGATGTATCCCAGAGAACTGAAAACACATCCACATTTGTGGAAGCAACCTAAATGTCCTTCAACTAATGAATGGATGCATACAAAGTGGTATATTCATTCAGTGAAATATTATTCAGCCATTAAAATGAATGAAGTACTGACTGGGACTCGGTGACTCAAGTCTATAATCCCAGCACTTTGGTAGGCTGAGGCGAGGAGATTGTCTGAGTCCAGGGGTTCAAGACCAGCCTGAGCAACATGGTGAGACTTCATCTCTAAAATAAATCAAAAAATTAGCCCGGTGCGGTGGCGTGTGCCTATAGTTCCAGCTACTTGGAAGGCTGAGGTGGAAGGATCACGTGAGCCCAGCAGCTCGATGCTGGGATGGCCGTGAGTGTGCCACTGCAGCCTGGGCGATAGAGTGAGACTCCAACTCAAAAAAAAAAAAAATGAATGAAGTACTAATACTTGCTACAGGGTGGATGGACTTCCAAAATATCATGCTGATCGGGCATCCAAATACAGGAACTTATCCTTCTGTCTAACTGTGTGCTTTTTGTTTGTTGGTTTGTTTGTTTTGTTTTTTTTGAGTTGGAGTCTAACTCGGTCACCCAGGCTGGAGTGCAGCGGCACACTCACGGTCGCCGCTGCCTCAACCTACTGGGCTCAGGTGATCTTTCTGCATCAGTCTTTCAAGTAGCTGGACGAGCGCCACCATCCCAGCTAGTTTTTTTATTTGTTGTAGAGACAAGGTCTTGAATGGCTGATCTCGAACTTGTGGGCTCAGGCAATCCTCTCGCCTCGGCCTCCCAAAGTGCTGGGATTACAGGCTTGAGCCACCGCGCCTGGCCTAACTGTGTTTTTGTAACCATTAACCATCTCTTTGTTCCCCTTTCTCCTCCCCTTCCCATTGTCTTTATAGATTTGCTTATTCTGGACATTTCATATAAATAGAGCCATACAATATGTGTTCTTTTGTGTCTGGCTTCTTTCACTCAGCATCCTGTTTCTTGTTTTTTTCTTTTCTTTTCTTTTTGCATCAGAATCTCACTCTGTCACCCAGGCTCCAGTGCATTGGCATGAACACAGCATGCCACAGCCTCAACTTCCTGGGCTCAGGTGATCCTTCCACCTCAGCCTCCCAAGTAGTTAAGACTACAGGAGCCCACCACCATGACTGGCTCTTTTTTTTTTTTTTTTTTTAGAGGTGAGATCTCACTATGCTGCCTAGGCTTGTCTTGAACTTTGAGACTCAAGCAATCCTTTCATCTTGGCCTCCCAAAGTGCTGGGATTGCAGGTGTGAGCCACGGAACTGGCCAGCATCATGTTCTGGAAGTTCATCCACACTGTAGCATGTATCAGTACTGCATCTAGTTTAATGGCTAAATAATATTTCATTTTTTAATTTTCTTCTTTTTTTGAGTCGGAGTCTCACTCTGTCGCCCAGGCTAGATTGCAGTGGCATGCTTACGGCCACCACAACCTCAACCTGCTGGGCTCAGGAGATCCTTCCACTTCAACCTTCCAAGTAGCTGGACCTACAGGCGTGCGTCACCACACCTGGCTAATTTTTTAATCTATTGTAGAAATGAGGTCTCACCAAGTTGCCCAGGCTGGTCTCGAACCTGTGGGCTCCGGTGATCCTCTCATCTCAGCCTCCCAAAGTGCTGGGATTACAGATAAGAGCCACTGCACCTGGCTGGCTATACCACCACTTTTTATTTGTCCATTCATGAGTTGATGGACATTTAGGTCACTTCCACAAATGTAGATGTCTGTTTCCAATTCTCTGGGCTATGTAGGAACAATCATATGGTAACTCTATGTTTGACATTTTGGGGAGCTGTCGATCCATTTTCCAAAGTATCTGCACCACTTTATATTCCTGTCAACAACAATGTATGAAGGTTTTAATTTCTCCATATCCTTGCCAACATTTGTGATTGTCTGTCATTTTGGTGATAGCCCTCTAGTGAGTGTGAAATGGTATTTCATTGTGATTTTGATTTTCATGGTCTTAACTGATAATTGTTAAGAATCTTTTTTTTTTCCTGAGTCTGGGTCTCACTCTGTCACCCAGGCTGGAGTGCAGTGCACAATCATGGCTCACCCCAGCCTCAACCTCCTGGGCTCAGGTGATCCTTCTGCCTCAGCCACCTGAGTATCTGGAACTGCAGGCGCACACCACCACACCTGGCTAATTTTTTAAAAAATTTTTGTAGAGATGACATATTGTTATATTGCCCAGGCTGGTCTCGAGTGAGCCTCCTGCCTCAGCCTCCCAAAGTGCTGGGATTACAGGCATAACCCACTGCACCCAGCCTCAAATTTTTAAAATTAAAGCATTAGCGATATGTTTGAAGGCTCAGTGTATCATTCTCAGATCCAATCCCTTTTTATTTTCTGCAGCCTGGATTGGATGTTTATCACATTGCTTTTTTTTTTTTTTTTTAGTTTTTTTGATGGTTTGTTTTTCTTTTTGAGTCAGAGTCTCACTCTGTCACCCAGGCTGGAATGCAGTGGCACACTCATGGCCACTGCAGACTCTACCTGCTGGGCTCAGGCAATCCTTCCGCCTCAGCCTTCCAAGTAGCCAGAACTACAGGCGTACTACCATGCCCAGCTAATTTTTTGATTCATTGTAGAGACAAGGTCTCACCAAGTTGCCCAGACTGGTTTCAAACCCGTGGGCTCAGGCAATCCTCTTGCCTCAGCCTCCCAAAGTGCTGGGATTATAGGCTTGAGCCACCGCACCTGGACTTTTTTTTTTTTTTTGAGTCAGTCTCACTCTGTCCCCCAGGCTGGAGTGCAGTGGCACACTCATGGCCACTGCAGCCTCAACCCACTGGGCTCAGGTGATCCCTCAGCCTCAGCCTTCCATGTAGCTGGAACTACAAGCATGCTACCACACGGTGGTGGCACATGGTGATGCGCAGAGATTGAAGTGGTGCACTTATTTTTTATTCATGTTTTTTTTTAGTTGGAGTCTCACTGTTACTCAGACTGGAGTGCAGTGGCACTCTCATGGCCACCGCAGCCTCCACCTGCTGGGCTCAGGTGATCCTTCCATCTCAACCTTCCAATTAGCTGGAACCACAGGGGTTTGCCACCATGACTGGCTCATTTTTCTATTTATTGTAGAAACGAGGTCTTGCCAAGTTGCCCAGGCTGGTCTCAAACCCCCAGGCTCAGGCATTTCTCTCGCCTCTGCCTCCCCGAGTGCTGGGATTCCAGGCGTGAGCCACCTGCCTAGCTGGAGTGGTGCATTTATATGCCAAGCAGTCCCAAAGG